TGAATTAAAGCGGCGAGAACAGGAAAGGGAAGATGAATTAAAGCGGCAAGAAAGGGAATATGAATTGGAGAGGTTGAAGATAGAAGCTTCATTGGTACATACTGGTACTATAGGAGAGACGAGCAGCTCTCGAAATGAAGAAACAAGAGAACATGTACCTGGTGGATTGCAAAAATTAATGCGTACTTTTGATCCGAAAGAAGGTGATATAAGTTTTTATCTAATATTGTTTGAAAGACAAGCACGAAGAGTCCATATAAAAGAAGAAGATTGGGTAACGCATCTTGTTGGATTATTGCCTCTAGAAATGGCGAATTTAATTGCAAGGGAGCCTGAAGAAAAAGCAAATGATTATAAACATGTAAAATGTATGTTATTGAAAAGGTTTAAATTGAGCCCAGAAGCATTTAAAATAAAGTTTAAGAGACATTGTAAAGCGGCTGAGAGCACTTGGCGAGATTTTGGATTTGAATTGGCGAACTATTTTAACGAATGGGTTTCGGGACTAAAAATTAATGATTTCGACAGCCTGAAACAACTTGTCATTGTCGAACAGATAAAAGAACGAGTACCTGGAGACATACAAAATCATTTTATTGATGAGTGGAGTAGAATTTGCTCAGTTGACACACTTGCTGAGAAGTTAGATGAGTACGAGAATGCAAGGAAATATAACCAAACTACTAAATTCATTGCTTCTCAACCATATAGGAACTTATACCGGGAAAAACCAAACATGGTTAGTAGAAGATATCATACATTTGGTGAAGGATATAAACATGAGCATAACAACCATGGCAGAATTGATAAGCGGAGTTCTTCCCAAAATCCAGTCACATGTTTTAATTGTGGACGAGTAGGACACTTGGCACGATTTTGTCGAGATAATAAAGAGAGGAGAAGAAACATTGAAGGCAAAGTGGCCGAGGTTCAAGTATCGGAAGGGCAAGTATCCGAAGTTAAGGTACTCAGAAATGGAAATATCGAAAGCAAAGTAGTCACTGCAAGATTTAACGGTGAAGTCATGGTAGGAAACAAAAAATGTAAAGGCGTTCAACCAAAAATAGCTGCCCTTAAGAAAGTTAGAATTTCATATAATGAATACGAAGCTGTAGTAGATTCTGGTGCACAAATAAGTGTATTTAAAAACGATATAGTGGGTAAGGAAGTAGATTACAAAGGGCATATAATATTACAACTATGAATACGAAGCTGTAGTAGATTCTGGGGCACAAATAAGTGTATTTAAAAACGATATAGTGGGTAAGGAAGTGGATTACAAAGGACATATAATACTACAACCTGCGTTTGGCGAAAGTCTAAAAGCTGAATTAAAAGAAGTGGAAATCGCTTTGGTAACGGAAGGATATATTACGCCTATAATTAAAACGATGATAGCAGTCGTCAATGGGTTAAATGCTGACATTTTGTTGGATGCTGAAACTTATGAGGCATTATTAGAACAAAAAAGAGTATACAATCCCAGTTTTACTGCTGCTATGAAGCTAAGATCAGATTCCCGAAAGGAGCAGTTATATATGAGTGCAAGTGACGGAGAAGAGCAGCAGGAGCCAACAGTAGGTGAATGCGGTGATAAAAAGAATGGAAATGAAACCGAACGATTCAAGATACAACAACAAAGTTGCGATACTCTCCAAGAAGCATGGAAATTGGGGAAGCAAAATAAAGGAGGGTATGTGATACAAAATAATATACTATGCCATGAAGAGCTGTTGGACGGGAATAGAATACAACAATTAGTAATTCCCGAAATTAGAAAAGGTAAAATACTAGAAATTGCCCNCTTAAACAAATTACACAACTGAAAATACGTCAATCAGTACCTGCTTCAAAGAATGTTTATCATCAACTTCCTTCTACATATAATTTTCTTGAAAGTTTGTAATTAGAATTTTAAATATTTAAAAAGTTATACTCCAAGGCTGAATTTTTGGGCTTATAAAAATTTGCGAAATTGAGTTTTATTCATTGATTTTGATAACTTTCAGCTCTGTGAAAATTCTTGTCCAATGTGGATTTTTTTAAATTAATTTAAATAATCTAAGTTATTTTTTATGTTTTGAAAGATTAGAGAATTCATTACAGAGCAAGATGTTACGAATCAGTTGAAATTAAAGCTTTGCCATTTTGTTTAAAATAGTAAAAGTGTGTTTGCTTAAAAATTTTCTTTGGCGGTAAATCTTTGAAAAATACTGTTAATGACTTTTATCCTCCGCAAGAAATCTCGCCAAACATTATTTCAAAAATGTTTAATTATTTAGTTCATATGCCTGCTATTATAGACTCCTAAACCATCTGACGTACAGCGATTAAAATTGGCACACTAATACTTCGAAGCACGGAAAAGGTCATTGTTGGCACAAGAACATAAAATTTTAATTAAATAGTTCTGAAGAGACGTTTGAAAAAAGCAATTTTTTTAAATTGTCTTAGAAAACGCCATAGATAAAAATTAAATTGCATACAATTCTGTGTTCTTTATAGGATAACAACAGTTATGTTTGCTACCTTATAGCTCTCAGAAGTTCCTAGCACGTTTGAAGTCAATTTGGGCCGGAGATATGTTCTTACCTTTGAATATGAAAGGATCAGCGGAGGAATATTTAAAAGAGTTAAAAGGAAAATTAGAAATAGCAACCGAAAAGGCAAGGTTAACAAGTGATGTGCAACAAAGTAATTATGCCAAATATTACAATAGAAGGAAAAAATACCGGGAATTTGAGCCAGGAGATCAAGTACTTGTGCTAATGCATGATTCATCCAATTCATTATATGCCAGATGGATAGGTCCAGTAAAGGTAATTAGAAGAGTGAAACCGAATTCGCATTATTTGCAAATGCCTGAAGGAAATTTAAGATTATTGCATGTTAACAAAATGAGAGAATACAAAGCGAGAATTCAAACAGTTGGAGTTGTCTATGATATCGATGATGAATTTGGTGAAATATACGAAACACCAACTCTTCCTACAGATGTGGAAAGCTATGAAGCATTGAAAGGATTAAATTTGGATTACTTACCCAAAATGCAACAAAATCAATTGAAAGATCTTTTACATAGACGCAAAACGTTGTTTGCGGGGAAGATAAGGATAGCTAAAGTTGGGAAACATGCGATAANAATTCAAACAGTTGGAGTTGTCTATGATATTGATGATGAATTTGGTGAAATATACGAAACACCAACTCTTCCTACAGATGTGGAAAGCTATGAAGCATTCAAAGGATTAAATTTGGATTACTTACCCAAAATGCAACAAAATCAATTGAAAGATCTTTTACATAGACGCAAAACGTTGTTTTCGGGGAAGATAAGGATAGCTAAAGTTGGGAAACATGCGATAAAGCTGAAAGCTGAGGAGGATACGATGAAACCAAAAACGTACAAGATACCAGAAAACTTAAAGGGGAAAGTGGATGCACAGATCAATGAATTGCTAGCGTTAGGACTGATTGAACCGGTGGTAAGTGAGATAGCACACCCGGTAGTATGTGTTCATAAGAAAGACGGAACAATCAGGTTATGCATTAATTTCAGAAGTTTGAATGCTCTTACCGTTATAACTTAAGTAAATAAAGTATCCATAGAATTATATATAAAGCATATGTCACTTTAATACTCTACAGAACAATATTAAACAACGCGCTGATATTTCAGTATTTCATGGAATTAGGCTTAACATCGAAAAACCCTCCGGCCCTGGGGAGACACACGCTAGAGAGACTGCCGGCCTCAGCGGTAAGCGCGCTTTCGCGCTTTGCGTCGCGAAAGGGTTAAAGGGGAAAGTGGATGCACAGATCAATGAATTGCTAGCGTTAGGACTGATTGAACCGGTGGTAAGTGAGATAGCACACCCGGTAGTATGTGTTCATAAGAAAGACGGAACAATCAGGTTATGCATTGATTTCAGAAGTTTGAATGCTCTTACCGTTCCGGATGCATATCCAATGCAAAATATGATGGAGTTGAATTTCTTAGTAGGAAAGAAGAAATTCATTACTGTGCTAGATATGTTGAAGGGATATTGGGCCATACCGATGGAGAACGGCAGCAAACACCTCACAGCATTCCGAACTCACCGAGGCCAGTACCAATGGAATGTATTACCCTTTGGATTAAGAAATGCTGCTGCAACCTACCAAAGAGCTATGTCTAAAGTGGTTCAGTTCATGTCTGATTTCACTTGTGCTTATATCGATGATTTAGCAGTATTTTCTGATACGTGGGAGGAACATTTGATTCATCTTGAAGAAGTTTTTAAGAGATTGGAATATTTTAATTTCTCCGTGAACTTGAGAAAGTGCGAATTTGCTAGACAAAAGGTTAAATACTTAGGACATATTATTGGTTCAGGTAAACATGCTCCTGACAAAGAACGAATAAGAGTAATACAGAAATTAGAGGCACCCAAAACCAAAAAACAACTGAGAAGTGCTTTGGGATNAAATGCCTGAAGGAAGAATAATAAAATGGTGAATTAGTTTTTGTAGAATTTTGCGTTATTTCTTTTGTAAAAGGTTACGACTGACAAAATTAAAATGAGAATCTTAAACTAGTTCTCACTGAATTCCCGAAACTCATTTTTTTTAACCCGTTCATGTTACTTATAAGAAATACAAATTAGATGCATTATTTTAAATACATTTTTGTTGGTTTCTGTTCTTTAGTTATATATTTATTTTAACTAACCTGATTCTATTAACTATCTATTTCCTTGTAATCTTGTAATGTTCGTAAACATTTGTCAATTTTCCCACTGAAAACGATTTGATATTAGACCCGCTCTTTAAACCTACTTATTTCAATTTCTGCAAAAAAATCTCCAAAATGACTATGAAATGTCAACGAAAAAAATATTGCCGATATTTTAAAGAAAAAGCATCATCTTTAAAATATCTGAGGATTTCTGATAAAAATACGAAAATTATTTTTTCTTTTTCCGCAGGAATTCTGAAGATGTTTTCAGTGCGGAAGTACATTGTAAAAAAACTCGTTTAATCTTAAACCAATATTTGGTGCAAAGTTTCTCATTATCGCAAAATTTGGTTAAAGGAAAGATTTATTTTATTTTAGTTACACCATGAATTGTGAAGTATGATCAAAAAATACTTTCCTGGTGCAACTGAGTGCACTAAAATTTGGTAAAAGACTCAAAACCATGATGGTGACTGTAAACTGAACGTTGTTCGTTAACGACGCCATGATTATTTTAACAACTCAGTCTTGGTGTATCGAACGACTAGTGCATGTTGTTTCATGTTTCAACTTGTTTAGGTTGGTAAATGTATGTGTGCGTTTGATTTCCATTCATTAAAGTTCATTTCCTTCATGTTACCTTTTTTATTGGTTACATAAAATAGCTAGAGGTATGTCATAAAATAACCTACTTACTGTAAATAGTTTTGTTACTGTAAATAGCATACTTTGCCTGTATTTGGGGGCTTTAAAAATACCTAATAATAGTGCAACCTTCCTCTGCTTTTATGAAAGAAATAAAAAAGAAAGAATGAAAATAGGTGTTTTGTTTCTTCAAAACACCTACTTTTGGTGCAACCATCTGCTGATATTTAGAACTAGTGAAAATATCAACATATGGTGATATTGAGTTCCATTTTATGTACCCAGAAAACGAATACCATTTTATGGTGCAACGTGACTCGAAATTTTTAACAGTGCAATCCTTCTTTAAAAAAATTGTTGTTGAGAGGTTTATTGGTGATTTGAGCAGAAGTTTTTTTTTTATTATTACTGTTCATTTTTCATTTTTTTTAAGCGCGAAAATGTTTTAGAGGGGGTGCGGAAAACATAATTAACCATTTCATTTATTTTAGTTGTTATTGTACCTCAAAGATGCATTTCGATCACCCTATTAGGACATAATTTAATTTGATTTTTGTTGTAATAATTGACAATTTAATTACTAATGCATTCTCTGATGATAGTGAGTTCTTATTGCACTAAACTATCTTAAATTATGCGACACAGAAATAAAAATAGTTATCAACAATAAATAAATCTTGACTATCCGGGCTGGTGAGTGAAGAAAAAGAGAGCACGCTTCCAATAAGTCACACCATATGTTGCTAACCCACCATAGTGAAGCTAGATCTAAGCTAATGTAGCTACATTTTGTCTACGGTAAGAACTCCCCCCGCCACAAAGTCTGAGGCAGCCTATTGCCTTGGAAAATAGAATAGCGCATTTCACGGATGGTAGCTTCTCGTCAGTCTAGAGCTAACACAGTAGACTGAAGAAAAAGATTCCCTTTCTCTAGCTGACCGGAGCCAAAGCCTGTCCTAAACAATGACCTGACACTCCTGATAGTTATAAGTCGTTACCATAGTCACCGCTACGGTTCTGGACAAATGACTAGGAGAGTTCTTACTATAAACAAACTATATACACCATCTGGGATTGGAAACAACAACACACCAGGTCCGAATCCCGGGAATGACTGGTTCGTTCATAGACTCCTCCCACTAGCTCTCTCCAAGCGAAGTAGAAAACAGATCATGGGTTAAAGTGCTTTTAGCGTCGGGCTAACCATGGAAGATTTCGTGATGTTACTTTCAATGTAGAGTAAATGCTACTCTGTTTTACTCAAAAAGTTCTCCACTAAGGCCAATTTACTCTGCTTAATCCAGAAGTTCCCTTGCATTGAGGATTCCATAACTGTGTACTATTTTAATTACCAAATCTAATTAAACCATAGTCTTTTGAGTTAGGTTCAAAATTACAAGGCTATGGACTTGAATACTGACTTCTCAATGTCGGCTATGAAGTAAAATAAAAGACAGTTAAAACCATGCTTTTTCCGAACCTGTTCAAAATTGTATAAAACTGTAAAAAAATGAAACTAACTTAGTCAAAAAAGTTTTAAGACTTTTTAACTACTAGTCTTTCCACTAACTTAGTTCTACCAGTCTAAAACTGTCTTAGACTTTCCTGAAAGCGAAGTCTCAAACCCTCTTTAAATATATAAACACCCAAGTCTAAAACTGTCTTAAACGGTCAAAAACCTAAGTCTAAATCTGTCTTATTAGACTATCTGTACCCCTTCTCCATTTTTTCCCACATTGCAGAAGTTCCATTTAAGAAGTTCCATTTTCATTAAAGATTAGTATAAAAAATATTGCACAAACTGAACCACTTTTTGATAATTTAATAAAAATGACAATTAAAAAAAAATGGTTAATTTTAACCATTGATAGCTCAAAATTGGTTAATTGGAAGTAAATTATTGTTTAAGAAAAAAAAACGAAACTGTTAAGAAGATGGCTAAAATTAAAACATGAGATAACCTGGGACCCCCTTTAGCTAGTATGTAAAATCAAATACAATGAGGAAAATTGAGTCAGATATTTTTATTTGTTGAAAATACATTTAGAGTTTTAGTTTCTTTTTTTTAATTTTTTTTTATCTCTTTTTAGGTTGTTTAATTCTCTTAAAAATTTTTTTTAGTCTTTTAACTTTTATGAGTATTGGACAGTTTAATACAATCTTGGACAGTATATCTCCTAAAATAAAGTAAATATTTACTAACACAACAATAATTTTTAAGTCATATACAATATTCCGGATCAATTTTTTTCCTTTCTAATTCAAAACTATGGGTAATGAACATTTTAATAGAATTTTTGACAGTAAAAAACACTTATCCTATCCGAAAACCTAAGCATAAATGAAGCATTACTTTATGTTTTACAATCAAACATTTAAATCGGTCTATTTAACGATAACGCAACTATGATTATTCTTATCATTAACAATATTCCTGGTCAACTTTTTTACTTTCCTTTTTCAAAATTATGAGTTCTGGACGGTTAGATTTTGGACAATTTTGGACAGTAAGACACACCCTTGCCCAAAATCTTAACCCTACACAAAACAAATCTTCATGTTTAACAATTTAACATTCAAATAAGTATATTTCATAAAGCAGCGACTACGATTTTTCAAATCATATACAATACTCCTGTGCAACTTTTGACAATTTTTGTTAGAAATATAGATTTGCATTTAAAACACTTTTTTGATAGTTTTGGACTGTAATTCTCATATGTTGTTTTCAAAACCAGTTTGAAACATCCAAAATTCCAATTCTGAATGAAACAAATCTTCATGTTTAATAACAAAACATTCAATTCTGTGTATTTCGTAACCCAACTATTATTTTGAAATCACAAATAGTAATCCAGATCAACTTTTTCCCTTTTATTTCATACCTTCAGGGTAATGAATATTTTAATAAACAATTTATCCTCCCCCCCTCCCCCCCAAAAAAGCCTACATACAGCATATCTTTTTGTTTAACAGTAAAATATTTAAATCGGAGTATTTCCTAAAGCAGAATTTTCTTCTTTTCCTTTTGTCAAGAAAATAGATTATTACAGTTTATTAATATGATTCTTAATAGTTTGATTCAGTAGTTCTCACATATTATCTTCAACAAAAGTTTAAGAAATTCAAAATTCGAATCCCGAATAAAACAAATCTCTATGTTCAATAAAAAAACATTCAGCTCAGAGTATTTCATTAAAATATGATTTTCTTTTCAAACCACATACAATATTTCTAAACGAGTTTTTCAGTTTTAATCAAGGACAATTTTGGACAGTAAGACTCATCTACCCCACCAAAACCTGACCTTAAATAAACAAATCTTCATGTTTTGCATTCAATAGCTATTTTATGAAGCATAATCAACATTCCTGAACAACTTTTTATTATTATTTTTTTCTGAAAATGTAGATTTGTAAACTTTAAAACACTTTTTGACAGTTTTGGACAGTAATTCTCGCATATGCTCTTCAGAACACGTTAAACACGCCCAAACCCCCTACCCTGAATGAAAACAAAATTTTGAGTTCAATTACAAAACATTCAACTCTATTTATTTCGTAACCAACAACGAATTTCTAATCACATACAATATTCCTGATCAATATCAGTTGTCAAGCAAGGAAAAGCTCGAAGCATACTGAACCACAATGATGGACTGAAACAGAAAAGAAGAAAAAAAAATCTCTCCCTCCAGAATTAGAATCCAGTTTCTAAAAATCTCGACCATCGAACTCTACATAACATAATCAAACAGACGTAAACCTCACCCATATCTAAACATGGAGTAAATTTACCTGTCCAGAGACATTTAAAGGGTTGTGCGCGTGCCTTATAGGCCTTTGCTCTGTGGACAATGGCCTTTTTGATTGAAGGGGGGGAGGGACAGCGGCTATCACAACTAATCCTTTGTCTGCGGGGGTTGAGCAACATAATCGGTCGTCAAAAACAAAAGCCAGAAATTGCTTTGGTCCCGATGAAATCAGATAAGAGAAGTTCACTGCGGTAGAAATATTTCGGCTCCTTTGGTAAATTTTTTAAAAAAATATGAATTACTGAGAACAAAGAGAATTGAATAAATGTTGAGCTTTGTTTTCGATTTTTATTGAATCAT